TTGCTTGAGCAACTTAATATATAAATCTAGAAGTAAATGCAAAAGTAAAAAGTATTGAATGATGTGTTGCTTATATTTATTGTGTTTAAACATGTCTGTGAAAGATTGTATTACTGTACTGTGTAAAAAAAAAAGAATTGCAATGCTGAAAAAGCATTTTCAGTGACAATGTTTGGATTTGAAATCAAAATAATGGATAAATGTTGTGTTTGTGGTAAACACGGATCAGTAGCGGACTCCTGTGTGAAAGCGGCTTCTCCTCTCACAATCAACTAAGAGGGGAATTCCCTCCATTTTCAAAAATGAAATTCAGGCCCTGAATAAATGTCTAAAAATCCTGATTGGAGTATCACTATAAATAGTTATAAATGATAAAAAGAAGGCTTTAAAAAGATCGGTATCGGCAGATACTGCTTTCTGTGATAGGCCTCAAAAACCCTGATCGGAGCACCCCTGTTAATATCTTTTTCTAATTACTGTAATGTGACATTAGTTTGAAATATTTAGAATATTTAAATAGATTAAATGATTAACATTGATATTTTTGTCATTGCAGTATTTTTTTATTTTTACAGAAATAAATCCTAATGAAAATGTTGAGAATAATGAGAATTATAAACGCATCATGATAATGACAATATCAGGAATATAATGCGACAATGGCAAACGTCTTCCTTTAAAAATAATTAATTAAATAAATATTTTATTTATTTATTTTTTGATGTTTTGAAAATTGCTATATGACTGTCATGATACTATGAAATGTAATTAAATTTGCATTGTCACTACTTTCATTTAGTTTCTAACAAACACTGCTGTAACATGCATCAAATTCTTTTTAAATATACTGCTGATTAGTTTCACAGCACAGTATTTTTCTTTCATGTCTTGTTTAAATGAGGCTTTGGTTCATGTCCTTTACACATGTAAACTATAAATCATGACGTGTATCATTACTGTACAGCAGCTCATGTGAGCCACTTCATCAGGCCATTATCAGTCATCAATGATCATTTTGGACGGCCCAGAACTGACCACACTGTTATAATTAAGGCGATGAGCGACTAACAGAAGGCAGACATACACCCACGGCTCCATTAGATATTAATGCCTGTTTTTTCCAGCAGGATTTCTGCAGTGTTTTTTTTGTTTATGGTCTTCATTCTTGTGTGCATGCATTCTCTGTTTAATAAACCAACCAACAGCCAAAGGTTGCGTATGTTTTTTATTGGTTTGTTTGTTTGGAGATCTGGAACAGAACTTTTTAAGTGCTAATTTAACATCTTCAAACTGCCCAGACTGAGCAGACAACACACACACACACACACAGACACACACACACACACATACATGCAGTTCATTATTTTGTCTTTGTTTTCACACACTCTGCTTTACACTGTTTTTAATTAGGAGCTTCACAGTTTGGCACATTTATTAAAGGAATAATTCACACAAAAGCAGAAAATCTGTCAATTTTTTTCAGTTTTACTTAGTGCTGGGCGGTATGACCAAAAATGTATATCATGGTATTTTTCAAAATTATACCGGTTTCACGGTACATGACGGTATTTTTTTTTTCATGCATGACCGGGTGTTAATAATTTTTTCTACTGATTGAGAGAGGAAATACTGCAGTATATTGACTTAGAATGCCCTATTTTACTGTCATGATGAGTGAATAAGCATTAGCAATTAATCGCAACATGACAATTTGATACCGGCATATCCCTAGTGTGTATATTTATGGAGGTAATACCGCATACCGCGCTATTGAGCCACTCAAAATTACCGCAAGGGAAATTCCCTCACCGCGACAGCCCTAAACGCAACATTGCAATGCATTACTTTTAAAGTATCTTTCCCCAACACTGTATATATCACACAGCTCTAGTATACAGTGTTAAACGCATGTGCGTCCAGGAATGTGAATCCTGCATGCTGTATTGAAATGATCTGCTCTGTTTAAGTGAGTAAAGCTCTTCAGACTGTAACGAGTGTTTGTGTGTGTGCAGGTTGTTTTGAGTGCTGTATTAAATGTCTGGGCGGCGTGCCGTACGCGTCTCTGGTGGCCACCATCCTGTGCTTCTGCGGCGTGGCGCTCTTCTGCGGTTGCGGACATGTCGCTCTGACAGGAACCCTCACCATCCTGGAGAACCACTTCTCCAAGATCACCGCAGACCACGCCATGCTGACCGACATGTGAGTGATGAGGAATCTGGGAAAACACTGTCAAAATTGTGAAATATTATTGCAAATTAAAATGACTGTTTTCTATGTGAATATCTGTTAAACTGTAATTTATTGCTGTGATCAAAGCTGAATTTTCAGCATCATTACTCCAGTCTTCAGTGTCACATGATCTTCAGAAACCATTCTAATATACTGATTTGCTGCTCAACAAACATTGCTGATTATCAATGTTGAAAACAGTTGTGCTGCTGAATTTTTTTTTGTGGAAATTGTGATACATTTTATTTTTCAGGATTCACAGATGAATAGAAAGTTCAAAAGAACAGCATTTATTTGAAATGGAAAACTTTTGAAATATTTCTGAAGATCATGTGACACTGAAGACTGGAGTAATGATGCTGAAAATCCAGCTTTGATCACAGAAATAAATTACATTTGAATAGATATTCACACAGAAAACAGCTAGTTTAATTTGAAATAATATTTCACAATTTTTACTCTATTTATTATAAAATAAATGCAAAAAAGAATAAAAAAAAAACATTTCAAAAACATAAAATCTTAATTATTCCAAAATTTTGACTTGTAGTGTGTATTTTTTAAATATTACTTTTATAAATATACAACAGTGTTGCTTACATTTAGTGTTTAATATCTGGCATTAAATGTTAATTTTCCATTCTAGATTACAGACAAAAGATTATGGACAAAAGATAAGACAGTACCATTCTCTTAAAATTCATATCAATAAATACCTAAGTTATAAAATGACTATATGATGTAGAAATGCTTAAATAATTTAAATAGTTTTTCCACATTACAGTAATGAGATTATTTTTTGTTTTGTATTTTTTTCTAGTTTTTTTGGACATTCTTTTTCTTTTTTTTTTTTAAGGATTCATCTATATGATTATTGTAAATGCATGCTGTCAACAGAAGATGGCCTTACAGATGTTGAAAAGACATGACTTTAATTAAATCCTCATGGGAAGACATTAGATGCAGTTTAATGGATTTATGTAGATTCCCAGTAAATCATTTAATATTTTCGTCTCCAGTGTCACAGTAGATTTTCCAGGACATCATGCACTGAATTGAATGCGTTTCCTTGAAGTTTACCTGATCATTCAGCATCCACTGATTCACAGTTTATTTTATCTGTCTGAGCTCCAGATTCATCTCTTAAAATGAAAAGACTCACCTGTTATGAGTAAGTCTGGGCAGTTGTTTTGTGTTCAGTTAAATCTGCTCACATCTGTTGATGATTTCTCAGTGCTTCACATTTGTTCTGTTCTCCATCTCGAGACTTTAATTAAAGTCACATACAGTGATGAGATGTTCTCAAACAATGCGGAGTCTTCAGGACAGAGGTTAATGGCAGAATCACCTTGCACTAACACACACACACGCTCACACACACACACACACACACACGCACTCACACACGCGCTCACACAAACGCTCACACACGCGCTCACACACACGCTCTCACACACGTGCACACACATGCGCTCACACACGCTCTCACACACACGCACTCTCACACACACACACACACACACACACACACTCGTGATTTCACTAAGAAGATGCTCCAGATGCTCTGAACAGAAAGTAAACACACACAAGCAGTAACATCTGTGAAATCTTCTCGTCTCTTCTGCAGAATCCAGCTCATGCAGTACGTTATATACGGCATCGCCTCCTTCTTCTTCCTGTACGGCATCATTCTGCTCGCCGAGGGGTTTTACACCACCAGCGCCGTCAAAGAGCTCCACAGCGAGTTCAAGACCACCGTCTGCGGACGCTGCATCAGCGGCATGGTACGTAACCTCCTGCAGATATACTGATTAATAATATAATCACATAAAAATAATACAATATAATAAATAATAAACTAAAAATAAAAAGTATCAAAATAAATTAGACATTTTTTTACATGAAACAGTAAAATACATTTCAAAATTAAAGCATATAAGTAATTAAAAAAATTGAATTATATATATATACACACACACACACACACACACACTCGTGATTTCACTAAGAAGATGCTCCAGATGCTCTGAACAGAAAGTAAACACACACAAGCAGTAACATCTGTGAAATCTTCTCGTCTCTTCTGCAGAATCCAGCTCATGCAGTACGTTATATACGGCATCGCCTGCTTCTTCTTCCTGTACGGCATCATTCTGCTCGCCGAGGGGTTTTACACCAGCAGCGCCGTCAAAGAGCTCCACAGCGAGTTCAAGACCACCGTCTGCGGACGCTGCATCAGCGGCATGGTACGTAACCTCCTGCAGATATACTGATTAATAATATAATCACATAAAAATAATACAATATAATAAATAATAAACTAAAAATAAAAAGTATCAAAATAAATTAGACATTTTTTTACATGAAACAGTAAAATACATTTCAAAATTAAAGCATATAAGTAATTAAAAAAATTGAATTATATATATATATATATATATAATAAAAACAACTTGAATCAAATAATTAGATATAAAGAAATAAAAATGTAAAAATTTGATAAATTACATAAATGTTAAATATATACACACACACACACACACACACACACACACAATTTAAATAATATAAAAATAACTTTTATATTGTACCAACATCAATTTGAAAATAATTTAAAGTAGTCAAATTACTAAATAAAAGCAATTAAAAAATCTAAATAATATAAAATAAATACTCTAAAAATAAAACAAATCAAAATAATTTAGATAGAATAGTAAAAAAAATTATTACAAAATAAAAACTAATATATATCTTATTTGAGTGTATCTGGAGGTGCCGTCGCTAAAACTGTTCAAACATCTCTTTCTCAGTTCGTGTTCCTGACCTACATCCTGGGAATCGCCTGGCTCGGGGTTTTCGGCTTCTCAGCGGTTCCCGTGTTTCTTTTCTACAACATGTGGTCGACCTGCGCTGCCTTGCGCTCACCGATGGCCAACCTGACCTCCATCGACAGCATCTGCGTGGATGTGCGGCAGTACGGTACGAGACTCTGATTCCCTGCCAATCAAACCCTTAACTTCACTTTAAACTCTGTTGATGTTTTGATGAGGATTTGAGTTGTGTGAAGTTAATGTTGTTTGTATGTTGATGCAGGTATTATTCCATGGAACGCAACACCAGGCAAAGCTTGCGGCTCAACGCTAGGTGATATTTGCAACACCAGCGAGGTATGAGAACAAATGTGTCACACGCTAGTTTATTGACTTTGTCATGCAGCAGTGTTTATATGTGATATACAGTGGATATACATAATTCTAGTTCTACCTGCCTTATCCATTTTAATAAATAATAATAATTATTATTATTATTTTACAAATATGAAATTTGTTAGTTCTTTTTAATTTTATTAAATATGTAAGAATTGAATTTTTAAAAATGGCACAATTTTATTTGGAATGTATTTTTTTTATTTGGTTCTTTTTAATTCTATTTTTATTACATAATTATTTAATAATGTATCATTTATTATTTTATTTTTTACTAAGTTTTTGCTTTTCATTATACATTTATTTATAATGTAATGTTTATTTGAATTATTTTTTATTTAGTATTATTTAATTTATTATTCTTTTTAATTTAATTTATTAAATAATAATTTATTATTAAATTTTTTACAAATTTACTTTTCACTAACATTTTATTTGTAATGTAATTTTTTTATTTGGTTAGTTCTTTTTACATTTTTTTTATTAAATAATTATTTAAAAATATCATTTATTATTCTATTTTTTTTTACAAATTTTTTGCTTTTCATTATACATTTTATTTATAATATAATGTTTATTTAATTTAATTTTTTTATTTAGTATTATTTAATTTAGTATTTTTGTTTAATTTATTAAATAATTATTTAATAATTTATTATTTTATTTTTTACAAATATACTTTTCACTAAAATGTTTTTTGCAACACCAGTGAGGTATGAAAACACATTAGTCACACTCTTACTGGTTTATTTGTCATCCAGCAGTGGATATAAATGATTTCCCGTTGGTCTGTTGCAGTTCTATCTGTCTTATCATCTGTATATCGTCGCTTGTGCCGGAGCCGGAGCGACAGTCATTGCTCTGGTAAGCAGATGTTTGTTTTATAGTCAGATATATGGGGTGTTTGTTCCTCTTCCTCCTCTTTTTATCCCTTCATTCCCAGCACCATCTACTGCAAACCATGTGCTTTAAGCCCCTGATCTAATGGTTAGTTTTGTGATGACGTCCCAGCAGTCCACCTGAGATGACTTGATTTTGTTCTGCCAAATACATGCATGTAAATGACTGAAAAATCAGCTAGTGGGACGTCAGCCATAGAAGCTCAATTTCTAGTCACATACTTTACTGACACCTGAAGGGAAATTTAGTCATTTAGACATTGCAACTTAAGACAAAGGATTCAAAACAACATCAAAAGTTCAGTCCTATTATAATCAATAAAGCTGTCAATACTGGAAGTGTCTGGTGTCACACCATCAGCTGATGGAAAAAAAAAAGTGAATTTTATTTAAAATGTTTTAATTTTGTTTAATTTTATTAAATAATTTTTAAATTATTTTTTATTTTATTTTTACAAATGTCATGCTTTTAACTATAATACTATAATATTTGTAAATATAATACATACTAAATATATATTAAAATAATATATACTAAATATTTGATTTGTAATGTTTTTATTTCATTATTCCTTTATTTAATGTTATATAATTTTATTAATGTTTTTTTTTAAATATCCAGATTTTCACATGAAAGTGCCTAGAATGAGCAGCCACTGACAATAATGGACTAAAATAATAGAAGCGAGAGAACCCTTTGATTGCTTTGACATGTAATGTGTAAATATAGGACTGCACACAGATGTAGCGTTTGGACGCCGGTGCTGCCCGTGTCTGTAAACATGCCTTTGCCTTCGTTTCTGCAACCACTAGAAAACATTAATTTGAAGCCTGATGCAAAGTCTCTTTAAATTCCTCCTACAATGTCTTTGTCTAAAGTATTAAATAGCTAAAGAACAGACGCACAGCGTAACAGAGAAATTGCATATTTTTCCCATTCATTTTCTCAATAGAGATGCTGGAAAATTATGATCTATCGATTAAACCAACCAGGTGATTCATGAAATGCAATTCAAAGCAGAAAAAACTAAGATTGAAGACAGAACAATAGGAAAACTTGAATTTGATGTTAATTTAAAAAAATTGAAGTTTTGCCCACCAGTCAAAAGTTGTTAAAGTTAATGTTTTAAAATGCATATTAGAAGAAATCATTGTGATATGCCGATTCGGTGCTCATTATTTGATCAGTTTTGATTGATCAGTGTTGAAAACAGTTGTGCTGCTTCATATTTTAGTGGAAACTGTGATACATTTTATTTTTCAGGATTCTTTGATGAATAGAATGTTCAGAAGAACAGCATTTATTTGAAATGGAAATCTTTGTAACATTATAAATGTCTTTACTGTCACTTTTGATCAATTTAATACATCATTGTAGGGCTGGGTGACTTGGCAAAAAATGTAAATCTCGATTTTTCCAGAGCGTTTGACCGATTCTCGATTTTTTTAAAGATTTTTAACTAGTCAGCTTAAAAATGTAACTACAACATGATTCAAATGATCTTTTTCTTTATTAACCCTCTATTTAAAGAAAATTCTATTCCAAGTGCAGCACACATGAAGTTAAACAAATCACTTGTTAAGTATCTTTGCAGAAAAGATGCATGAACTACAACTACATATTGTACAAACTTGTCTTAAACATATTATATGTTCAGATATAATATGAGGAAAATGCTTATAAAATACCAAGTCAAAGTAATTCAAATTCAAAATGACTGAAGATATAACACCAGTAGACAATTATTATCTATAAATGTTCTGTAAAAACAACAGCAGCTTTCAGTCTGTCACCATGATGCAAACATGAAACACAGTTTTTTATTAGCTTGCGCTGCTTGTTTTTTCTGTGTAAGCATGAATGTGTTTGACTGTTGCGCTCGCGTCTCTTGCATGAAACGGCAGTCTAAAAACACGGCGCTCAAGTTAAAAGAAGTTCACTCCCATCTTCTTGCATGTTTTTCCTGTTCGACTGCCTCTCAAAGTGTCTAATTCTAACGTTTGGTAATATTTCTATTCAAAATCGCCTATTCCTCGATTTCTAAAAAATAAAATCGTGGCAAAACATTAAATTCGAATTAATTGATAAAATCGGAAAAATCGGCCAGCCCAACATCATTGATAAATAAAAGTATTAATTAATTTTTTTATGTATTACTTACAAAAATATTGTGCAGCACAACTGTTTCCAACATTGATAATAATCCTATTCACATAGAAAACAGCTGGTGAGCTGAAGAGCCTACTTTAAAAAAACATTAAAAAAAAAATCATAATTATTCCAATCTTTTGATTGGTGGTGTATATGAAATATAGAATGATTTCTCTGATTGAATTATTGTCTTTTCAGGAATTTAAGCAAATAACTTACAAACGTCTAAAAACACATCCACTATGAGCTCTGCGGTTTAATGTCTTTATGGAGAAAATGCATGTGGTTTTTTCTTCTAGAATCTGTTCTGTTTTATTGGAGGAAAGTCTATATTTTTTCTACAGGCCTAATTTTTCTGAATTTTGCCAATTGTGCCAGAGAGCCTTCCAGTGTTTTCACTGTGTTTTCTTCCTTCAGACCTGTTTACAGTTCTCAGTGTTGTTTTGATCATTTCTACTCATTTTTTTGAAGCAGTATTATGAAGATTGTTGGTATTTTTAATCTCTCGTGAAGCATTAAAAACAGACTCGCTAGATGTCAGTGTACAGCTTCACATCTAACCTAGTTCTGTTGTTTGCATAAATATGATTTGAATAATATGTTTTACGGTACTGTTATTTTAAACACAGACCTTTCACTGTCAACAGAGTGAAAAAAAAAAAGTAAATAATTCTTAAAACATAAATATTGTTGCATTATCTGTATGATCTGATTTTATTCAAAACTGCATTTATATTATCATCAGAACGCAATACAGCAGGTCCTTTCATATTTTATTATATGATTTGCTCATAACAATGTCTGCTTTACAATTAATAAATAAACAAAAACATCCGTCAGTAGGAACGACCTATGTGTGATTTGATTACATAACAACACAAACATGATAATTGAGAAAATTGTGGACCAGAAGCGCATGGGCTTGTGCTGAACACTTGATTATATGATTTAACTTTTGAAAGGCAGAAGATGCATTAATTTACAGATGTTAGACAGTAATTTAACCAGCTAAAAACCTGGCCTTTTAAAATCACGCTAACATTCAAACATTCTATTAAACTTCTATTAAAAACTAGGTGCAAAATGCAAAAACATGCGTGACTAATATAGTCAGGATCTAAAGGTTTTAAAGGAGTAGTTCACCCAAAAATGAAAATGTGCTCATCCTCAGGCCATCCAAGATTAGGATGAGTTTGTTTCTTCATCAGATTTGACTTTTTCTAGCATTGCATCAGTGTCTCAGCAATGGATGCTCTGCAGTGAATGGGTGCCGTCAGAATGAGAGTCCAAACAGCTGATAAAAACATCA